TCAGACTCCCAAAGCCTATACTCTTAACCACTCTGCTAAATTTTCTGTCAAATAGAATGAACCCTTCAGAGTGATCCATCTCACAAAGATGTGATGTTCAAATCACTTGATGAATGAGAAGTGACTTTGTAAGCTGAAAAACTCTGATATCAGAAACTGCTAAATTTCCTCCAGTATCTGTCTTCTATTTCCCTTTCATAATAGAATTCCTGGTGTTTAGCTAGACACTTAGTCATCCATAATAATTACTACATTTCTCAGTCTTCTCATAGACCATGTGATTCTTTCTGGACCAATGTGTTATGAACAGAGCCACATGTACAACTTCTGGGACATGCCTTTAAAGGGAAGGAGTGAGCCTCCCTCTTCCTTTTTCCCTTCCTTCTAGCTAGGCTATGGACATGGGAGTGATGAGTTATTTTGGATCACATGGAGAAGATAGGAGCCTGGGAACTCTGGCATGGTGGAGCTCATACATTTACTCTACGTTGCTTATGCCCGGATATTTGTGACAGAAACAAGCTTCTATCTTGTTTCAGTCATGGCTATTTTAGATCCCTGTTATAGCAGCTGAAACTATACTCTAACTACTGTAGTCTATTCACAGGATTCTTCTTTTTATTCCTATACAGTGGCTTTGAGACCACATGCAGGCTACATCATAAGAATTAACTTTTTCTTCTCAGTAAAAGATATTATCCTTCAACTAGTTTGCTCAGGTCAAACACCTTGGAGTCTTTATTTGTCTTTTAAAACAGTTTTTTGAGGTTTAACTGACATATGATAAACTGAATATATTAAACTGTACAGTTTGATAAATTCTCACCCAGGAAACCATCTTCATAATCAAGCTAATAAATATATCCATCACCACAGAAGTTATCTAGTGCTCCTTTGTAATCCCTTCCTTCTGCCTCCTCCTTAGTCTCCCCCATCCCCAATCTATCTGGCAACCACTGATCTTCTTTCTGTTACTTTAGATTTATTTTCATATTCTAAAAATTTATACACATGGAATCATACAGCATGTTACTCTTTGTCTGGTTTCTTTCACTTAGCATACTTATTGGAAGATTTCAAATCATCTCGGATTCCTCTCTTCCTTTCGTTGCCACTCTCTTGCTCCCAGTTCATTCCTTCATCAAGTTCAGTTACCTCTGCCTGAATCCATCTCCTTCTCTATGCCTCTGTCGCCATCATCTTCACCTAGACCGTCATCATCTGTTTCATGTACTACTTCAAGAGTCTCCTAACTCATCTCTTTACTTCCAATCCATTCTCCGCCTAGAACCCACAACGATCTCTTTAAAATAGAATCATATCAGTCTTTTCAGATCATTATCAATGCCCTGCTTGAAATAATTCAATGGCTTCCAGTCACACTCAGGATAGCATTCTAACCCCTGATGGTAGCTTATGAGGTCTTTCATGGTCTGGTCCCTTGTCCAACTCTTTGCCGTTACCACCTTCTACCATTCTCCCCATCCAGCCACACTGGCTTCTTCCTTTTGTTCTTCAAATATGTCACACCTGCTCCCATCCTAAACTCTTTGTTCTATTGTGCTATTCCTTATGTCTGGAATGTTCATTTCCCAGCTCTCTGCATAGCTGGCTAATTCTTATTTTTCAGGTCTCATCTCAAATGTTATGTCCTTCCAGAGAGCTTGCAAGTGGCCTCCACCCACTCAATCTCTAATCACATTGCTGTTTTCTTCTTTTTTTTTTTAACTATTTTTTATTGTATTCATAATCATTTTACAGTAGTTGTGTCAAATTCCAGTGTTCAGCACAATTTTTCAGTCATTCATGGACATATACACACTCATTGTCAC